CCCCCCCCCCACAGGATACCACACCCGGTGACAATAAATAGCCCAAAAAATGGTACTGTACTTCGAAGTATCAATCACCGGGGTGTGTTATCTTGTGTAGTCTATGCCCTCTTCTTGTCGTTGAGAAAGAACAGGACCAATTGACATTCATGTACAAAGTGTTCATGTCGACACCGCGCAGCACGCACAACCATCATCAGCTCGATGAAAGCGTGCATTGGCCAGACCCGGACTCTACTCCATCCACACTAGAATGAAAACACGGAATCCATCCGTAGAGAAAGAAGACACATGGTAAATCGTTGCATCATCCCCGCACGGCATGGAATGTATGTGGGGTGTTACGCTATTTGGAGGTAGACAGGTGATCGTGGTGGACCATGGTTATTTGGCGCCGTCGGATGCTAGGACGTGACGTCATGCTAGATCAGGGCTTTATGCCGAGACATGTGCCCTTCTGTTCAGTGTGTGCGTACAGACGATTCATGATCGTGTGTGCGTGGGATATTGTGAGTTGGCTTGGAAAGCGTTAAACAAGATGTTCTCAACAGTTACACGACCAAGTCTCCGCCGTACCATGTTCCTGCGGACGATGTTTCGGCGCCTGTCCGCAGGCTCGAGGGTGAGAAAATCACGGGACATCAGTCGGTTCGAGGACGTGTGGCGGCGTCATCGCAGTCATGTACGAGACCCACTGGAAAGGTCTTATGCGCCCCTCGTGGGAACCAGAAATGGACCTCCAACACTCCCCAAAACAGATTCTTCTGCATTGGGCTGGTACACCCGACCAACACCGGCAGGCAAACCGTCTGTATCGTCGCATGCGCATCGGCGCAGCGGAACGTGCACTGTCTCGCATCAAAGGCGAGCGGTCCTCGTCGCCTGGGTACGAATATGTTCCCGGCGATGTTTGGGCCCGCTGTTTTCGCAACACCGTGCTGCCTGTTGGCGCACACTTCTGGTACAAGGCTCAAGACGCTCTATGATGGCTAGGGAGAATCTTCGGACATACTCCAACTTCAAACGTCTTCTTCGTTCGCTTCCTGGATGACCCTGGACCTGTCAAGATCACCCTCTCCCCTTTGCGCTGCACGACAGCTTTGGGAACTGTTTGTGGTTCTTGGTGCCTTCTTCAGCTGCACCGAAGTAGTCCCTTCATGCGAGGTATCTTGCGCAATGTAGACGAAGCGCGTGGTACGGCTATAGACTAGTCGCCCCTGGCTAATACGTCTGTTGCCCTTGTTTTATGTGTGTGTATCTTGTTCGTGGGTCTGCGAACATTGGAGTTTGATACATGTGCTGTATGATGTGGTGTCACGCAGATTGGTGAGATTGCCGTTTGGCAGGGGGCACTGCGATGATTCACGGGGCCCTCCTTCCTGTTTGAGACGCTCTGTTTGGAGCACTCCCTCTTTCGTCCGTGTGAAGGACGGTCGTCTACCTCTCGTGAACGTAATACATCACCAAAACAGTCTCACCCGATAAATAGTTGGCGTAGGCCGCAAACACTCTACAGTTTTTTGCCCCTCGAGGGAAGCCACATTGGGATAAGCTCTGCCGGAGACGAAGAGCGCACTGCTGCGAGCGGAGAACAGATCNTGGTAAGATAACCGTTTGATAGGGGGCACCGCGATGATTCACGGGGCCCCTCCTTGCTGTGGGAGCCGCTCTTTGAGCACTCCCTCTTTCGTCCGTGTGAAGGACGGTCGTCTACCTCTCGTGAACGTAATACATCACCAAAACAGTCTCACCCGATAAATAGTTGGCGTAGGCCGCAAACACTCTACAGTTTTTTGCCCCTCGAGGGAAGCCACATTGGGATAAGCTCTGCCGGAGACGAAGAGCGCACTGCTGCGAGCGGAGAACAGATCCGCCCGCCGGTGCAGGAGGGCAGCGATGCGGAGCTTGCAAGTTTGCAACTGCAGGTTTCGCGGTTGGCGGCCCTGGTGGAGGAGTCGGTGAAGGAGAAGGAGCCTGGCAGCGTCGTGGCGGATGCAGCCAGTAGTGGCGGCTGGGTTGCCGCCACCGAAGGCCAACAAGAGCCCCTGCAGCCGCACGGCGGAGGCGGGGGATTTCTCCAGCAGCAAGCAAGAGATGGTGGGCAAGGACCACGGCAGCTGCTGTAAGGCGGCTGGGCCTGCAGATTGGGAGCGAATCCTGCGAGAACAGCCGGAGTGGGCCCGGGCATTGGACCGGACTACGGGGAAGCGAAGGGGTTAAACCCCCCAGGTGAGATACCCGTGATTCGAGAAAACGGAGAATTCCTCGACGGCTACAGCAGTAGCCACATGAAGAGAGTACCGTAAGGTCACGGGTTAGCGCACCCCCGTGCGATCGCTTTTTAAACATTTTCGTTATTAAATTTTCATCGCAAACCTGTGCGATGACTCCGGGCCGTGCGATGACTCCACACCCTGTGCGGAAATTAAATTTAATCAGTTTGATACATAACGCACACCCCTGTGCGATGACTCAAGTATGCTCCCTGGAGGCGATCTTATCAAGAATTTGAACGCACACCCCTGTGCGATAACTCCCGTATGTGCGGTACTTGAACGAAAGCAGACGCACGGACACCTCAGCTGTGCTGCGGTTGCAGGCTCCACACGCAACGTACACACACACGCGCACGTCAGCCAACCACAGTAGCTAGCCCGATGAATGCTAGGTTTTGGAGAAAGAACACAACACACACACACACACCAAAAAGCGGCGAAATAGAACGCGGCGAAATACAAAATGCCGCGGGCGGAAAACATGGGTAATTTCCCGCCGTCGAGTTGTGCCTACAACAGCAGTACACGCGACCCACAATCGCCTCNTGCAGGCTCCACACGCAACGTACACACACACGCGCACGTCAGCCAACCACAGTAGCTAGCCCGATGAATGCTAGGTTTTGGAGAAAGAACACAACACACACACACACACCAAAAAGCGGCGAAATAGAACGCGGCGAAATACAAAATGCCGCGGGCGGAAAACATGGGTAATTTNCAGTGCTGGCCATGGCAACTTTCACCTCTGCAACCATTGCTGGCCAATGGCAACTTTCACCCCTGCAAACATGCCAGTGCTGGCATGTGGCTCTGCTGTATGGGTAGGTAGGTCATCGTCGATAGTGTGAAGGAAATGCAAACGACCCCACACTATCACACCACAAAAAGCGCAAATACCCCGAGCCTGACTTCGTCAACGAGAGGACCGGAGGCAAGAAAGGGAGCTACCCCATGAGATTCAAACTGACAGCAGCCGAATTCACGCGAGTCCTTTGCGAGGATGGTCAACCAGTGGGAAATTCCGGAGCGGCGAAAGTTCTCGGGGTGGATCGCAGGCGCGTCATCACCTGGATCGGCGAGGAGGCAACAATGAAGAAGCTGGTGAAGGAGAAGCCTAAACTATCGAAGGCAAAATCGATTCACGTTGGTATGGCACCTACGACAGCCGAGGTCGAACAAGACCTGGAGGACTGCATCAACGAGCAGCGTAGGGAACATCGCGGCTGCGGAAGCATGGAAGTCATGAACAAGCTGCTCGAGCTATAACCTGACGCTCTCGGCGGGTTGACAGTCGCTGCGTCGGCGGGGGAGATATTGGCTTTCAGGACCAAGTTCAAGAACTGGTACCATTGTTTCCGCGAACGGCACGGTTTCAGCATCCGCCGGCGCACCAGCGTGGGACAAAAGCTACCGACGGGGTACGAGGGTTTGGCGTTCGCGACGTTGATGAAGCTTCGTACGGCCCTCTTGGAACGTGCTGGTGAGATCTACGCTCGGCGCAACCCACCTGCATCTGGCGAGAGCCCCATCAAAGGGAAGGACCTCACTCCCGCGCAGCTAGAGTCGGTTGCCGCGAAAGTGTTCGAAGAACTCGGCAACATGGACCAAACGCCAGTCCAGCAGGAGATGCCAGTGGAAACAACTCTGGAGAAGCGCGGTGTGAAGGATGCCCGCATCAGCACGGGAGGTGAGACTTCACGTATAAATACCCATACCAATTACTGTATGTGCCTTACCAATGCCTGTGTTGTCTGTATTTTTTAGCATCGACCGCGCTATGTGTGTGTGTTCGTCCCGTCTCTGCTGGCACCAGTCGATGGGTCTTTAGTTTTTTTTTTCCTCTTTGGTAAACATATTATGTGTCAGCCGGGATCGCACAGCTTTTTTCAATATACATATGTTTGTTTTCGTGCCCCAGCTTTCCCCCTGCGGATGTTATTGTACATCGCTTTTGCGCTTGTATCGCGTTCGCGTGCTTGTGTGGTTCCTTGATTCGTGCTGTCGAAGTGTACTACACCAGCCTCAAGCTTGAGTCGCTGAACATCGAAGGCTTTCCCCGCCGTACACTTGCTCCCCCTCTCTTCCCCGCAGGAAAAGAGAAAGACCGTTTCACGCCATGTCTTGCTGTCATGGCGGACGGTGGCAAGGTTCCCCAGCGAATCATTTTCAAGGGCAAGCCATTCATCCCGCCTAGCACGGCGGGGCGGGAAAAGAACACTCAGACCCGCAAGGGCTACATTGCGGCCGAGGTCCTTCTTGCCAACCGCACCAAGTTCGGGTACCCTGTGTCCGGCATGTTTTTCGTCGTGCAGGAGAAAAGCTGGTGTGACGCGCGCGAGTGCACCCTGTGGCTGTCCGAAAGCTGGAGGTTTCGGCCTAACCACGGGAGCGTCATCAAGCAGCGGCACAGCATCTTGGTGTTGGACGACTTCAGGTGCCACCGTAGCGAATCCTTCGTCAAGGACCTCCGGAGGAGGACAAACACCACCGTCATCCTCATCCCGGGCGGGTTGACACCTCTTCTTCAGCCGCTGGATCGCATGCTGAACAAAGAGATGAAGCGACTGATGCGGGGGCGGTGCACACAGTACATGTNACAGCATCTTGGTGTTGGACGACTTCAGGTGCCACCGTAGCGAATCCTTCATCGAGGACCTCCGGAGGAGGACAAACACCACCGTCATCCTCATCCCGGGCGGGTTGACACCTCTTCTTCAGCCGCTGGATCGCATGCTGAACAAAGAGATGAAGCGACTGATGCGGGGGCGGTGCACACAGTACATGGCGTCGGCGATCGCAGACCCCAAGACGGGCAAGCTTCAACCGCCGGGGCGTGGGCTCGTGTCGACGCGGTACAAGGAGTCATGGGCAGCTATCACCCCCGAAACGGTCAAGATGTGCTTCAAGGTGTGCGGCCTCACGCTTGCGCTCGACGGTAGCGAGGACGACGCGTGGGGCACCCACAACTTTGGTGAAGGCTACCGTGAGGTTCTAGTCCAGCAGCACGCCGAGTGGGAAGCACAACACCCCGGCGTGACTCTCCCGCCGCTCCAGCTACCCGAGGTGTCATCTGCACCTGGCGCCAACCCGATCGCGACTGCAGAGAAGGAGGTCACCGCGAAGTTGCTGCCTCCCGAGGGGGACAGTGACGATGAAGTGGAGATCATAGACGGCGACAGCGATGTAGAGCTGTTGGATGGGCCATGGGTTGGGGCTGCGGGAGGGGATGATCTGTCAACGTTTTGGCTCGCGCTCTCTTGTGTTGTACCGGTAGTGGCAGGTTGGCTGCCCGAACATGCTTGTGTGTGAATTCCAGCAGTACGGAGGTTGGCGCTGTTCGGTGTTTCTGGTAGTGACGGGGTTGAGTTTTATTTCGTAGCGACAGAAGTACTCCGTAGCACAAAGGTACAATAGTGCTGCTGTTCCATGTTGCCGTTCCATGGTACTTACTGCTGTTGGTTGTTTTGGCTGATGGCTGCTCTTTTTCTTCTGGTGTTTTGGTTGAATGGACAATGCTCAAGTTTACCGATCCCATGGAAATACCAATGTGTTTCATTTCCTTCACACTATGCGACGATGGCCTACCTACCCAGAAAGCAGAGCTACATGCCAGCACTGGCATGGTTGCAGGGGTGAAAGTTACCATTGGCCAGCAATGGCATGGTTGCAGAGGTGAAAGTTGCCATGGCCAGCACTGGCATGGTTGCAGGGGTGAAAGTTACCATTGGCCAGCAATGGCATGGTTGCAGAGGTGAAAGTTGCCATGGCCAGCACTGGCATGGTTGCAGGGGTGAAAGTTACCATTGGCCAGCAATGGCATGGTTGCAGAGGTGAAAGTTGCCATGGCCAGCACTGGCATAATTGCACGGGTGAAGTTGCCCCGAAATCGCTCGCACTCCACTACTACCCTACTGTAGGTTGCGAGTCATTGCACCCCTGTGCGGTAACGTCGGACCCTGTGCGGAAATCGAATGAAATAATGATGCCATTTAATTTTCATCGCACCCCTGTGCGACGACTCCGGACCGTGCGGAAACCCCGGACCGTGCGCTAACCCACAACCTTACGGTAACAGTCAATGCCCCGCGTCTCGAAGGGGAGAGTCGCGGTCATGGGTATGATTCGTGGAGAAAGTCGCTTATCCAAGCGGCCAAGACTGTAGGACTGGACGGCCAATTGATCGGCAACAACGAGAGACATGCACCTGTCGGCAACCCAAACGTGCCAAGCTCGGAGCTGTACCGCCTCCAATACACCAGCGACGAGGTCCAGAGCGGCCTCCAAGCGTTCCATTTTGTGACCACTGCCATCGTCAGAGAAGCCGACAAGGCGATCGTGAACAAATGCGAGACCGCAAAAGAGATCCTCGCGGAACTCGACAAAACCTACGATCCGGAATCGCAGGGCTCGAAACAAGCCCTCATGAAGAAAATGATCAACTTCACGATCCCCACGCACAGCAGCAGAAACCCCATCGAGCACGTAATCTCGCTCGAGCTGCTGTACTCACGCCTGCGCGAAAAAGGGCTCAATGCTGAACAACCCTTCGTTCTCGCCCACTTCGTTGGTTCCCTCCCACCCGTTTACCAACAAGCGAAGGTCCTGTTGGAGACAGCAACGGCGCTGGATAGGGCCGAGATCGTCAGGATCGTGAGCACGGTGCACGCGAGCCTCCCGGAGGGAAGGAAGGCCTCGAAGGGCCAGCGTAGGGCGGAGCATGCTCTCCTCGCGAGTGACGGTGGCGGCGGGGGAGGAGCGCCGGGCCGCGGCAACGGCGGCCGCCGCAAGGGTGGCGGCGGTGGCGGCGGCGGCGGCGGCGGCAACCAGAAGGGGAGAGGGGGTGGCGCGAAGGCTGGTGACGGCGGTGGAGGCGGCGATCACGATGCGGGTAGCATGCGCGGTCGCTGTTTCCGGTGCGGGAATCAGGGCCACCAGGTGGCCAACTGCCCCGAGAGCAAGCCCGTGCGATG